GCTAGGACTGGGGATTGTATCAAGCTCTGCTTGATACCCTCAAAGGAGCGTTGACATTCAGCGTTCCATGACCACCTCTCGTTCTTTTTCAACAAACGAGAGAGGTGTACAGTCATCTCGGCGTAATTGCGTGAATACTTATGCAAATACGCCGCTAGCCCAAGGAATTTTCGAAGACTTTTGACATCAACCGGCACAGGCCAGTCAGTGATCGCCTTGATCTTTTCGGTATCAGGACGTACACCGTTTTTTTCCAACAATGCACCCAAGAAGTGGTATCTCGCTTGCTGCAAACATACACTTCTTGAGGTTTGCATACAATTGATGCTTTCGCATGATTGTAAGAACCTGTCGGACGTGGTACCTGTGAACCTCAACATCCGACTTTCCATCCATAGCCCGACTATGGATGAATACGTCATCGAAATAACTCGGCGCGAATTCTCGTACTGGTCTCGACAGATGTGATACACATTTGCTGAACGTGGCAGGGGCATTACTAAGCCCTTGTGGCATTACTAGCCACTCCCAGAGCATGCCGCTAGGCGTGCTAACTGCGGTATAGGGTATATCCCGTTCTCGCATAAGGATTTGATAGAAGCCATCCATCAAATCCATGGACGAAAAGATGGTACTCTTTGACATACCGTCAATGATTACGTCCTTCCTCGGTATCGGTGTCTGAGCCGGTACCGTTGCAGCATTCAACTTGTTGAACGCGTGCACTATCCGCCACCCTCCTGTTGCTTTTCGCACACAGAAGGTCGGAGAGCTATGTGGGGAAGTTGATTCCCTCACATGGCCCGCAGCTAAACGATCGGCAAAGAACTTGTCGATCGCAAGTACTTGTTCACGAGGCAGTGGCCACTGCTTCATGACACAGTACTTCGAGCCTGGTTTAAGCTCGACCTCGTGTCGAACACCTTTATCCTTCGGTAATTCGCACGGAACAGTTTCAGGGAATACATCCTTGAATTCAACCAAATCTTCATAGAGAGAATTTTTCTTGAGCGATTCCCATGATTGGGAGTCATATCGCTCAATTCGTGTCTTTTCATCTAGGACACTCTCGTCCATCGATGAACTACTGAGAACTCTCTCGTTCTCAGTAAACATTGTTGCTGACCTTATGTCGGCTACGCACTCGTCGTCAGCGACAAGTACGCAGATCTGCTTGACTTTGCCACTACGCAGATCACACAAGAACCTTTTACGTTCGAGCGTTGGCAACTGAGTGATCTCCGAAGTCAACTTCGGAGGCGCAATCAGATCAAGTGCATAAGCGCCTACACTTGATCCGTCACTGACTAGGACATTTACTGTCTCTGTCATTTCCTGGGGACTTATTCCCTCAGGCCTCGAAGGACTTATTCCTTCGGCTTCCCGGGGACTTAATCCCTCGGGTTTCGGGGAACTTATTTCCGCCATATTTGTAATATTGGGACTTATTCCCTTAACTTCCCCTAGCTAGGGTTGCGCAACCACAGCGAGATCCTCTACGAAAGACTCTCCAGTCGATCTAGGATTATCGTTTCGCTTAACCTGAGCGATCGATTGGTTCTCTTCTAGATGTTCCCCGCTAGGGATACATCTTTGTCCCGGTCCACTCGACTTTTTCGAGTGGTGGACCTTCGGCGCAGCCTGTGTTTCCTCACAGCCGCCGGAACTTTGCTCCGCAGTGTAACCGTTTGGTACACTAAGGTTTTGTGCAGTCGTACTAACGACCGTACCACAAGTGAGGCCATCGCACTCACTCGTAGTACATCCACACGCTTGTGGACGCTCCAAAACGTTCATCAGATGGCCATCTGATGAACAAGCGGCAGGCATCGTTGCTGTTCGATGTTGCCAGTTTACCCGTGGTTCGTACCTTCTGAGCCACGGTATTCCAAGGATGACATCAAATTTGTCATCCAAATCCAAATCGATAAAGTCATCGTCATATTGGGTATCTACTAGCGTATAGTGGATCTTCACTATACGCTTCATGTCGGTTACGGATGCGCCTGTCGCAAGACGTACCGTCATCCTCGTAGGGTGTGTGTCACATTCACTGAACTTAAAGTGACCATCTTCTAGCTGTTGGCGTCGCACAAAATTGTTGGACGCCCCACAATCGACTAGAGCTCGAAGGGACAACTTATTTGTCACTTCGAGTTTCAAGGTAATGAGTGAGACCTCATTACCTAGAGCAGCAACGCACAACGTCTGTGTGTTGGGAGCAACCTTCATCAAGAGGCCTACAAATTCTCTTGACGTTGCTGGATCAGTAGGGTGCTCCGCACCTACTGATCCTGTCCGTTTTTTGACGGTCCATCCCGTTGTTGCGTCTTTGCACCAACAGCGGACCCGCGTCCCTGCCCCTTTCTCATGGGTGGACGGTCACTACGCCCAGTGTCGCGAGACACTGGACGAGGGGCACTACACTCGTAAGCGTAGTGTCCAGTCTTTTGACATCTGTTGCATCTCTGCAACTTCTTGTAGCCTGTAGAGCGAGCCTTCTCGCACTCTACATAACAGAGTTCCATCGGCTCTGGACCTCCGTTGTCATATCGTCTCGGTTGACGATATGATGTCGAGCTGGCGCGAGCCTGTCTCAGACTGAAGTCTTCCTGCTCCGCAATGGAAAGGGCTTGTTCTAGTGAATCTAGTTCAAGCCGGAACAGGTGAGTCTTGACGGGACCATCCGCAAGACCCTGCATGAACACCAAAACCAACGTGTGTTCATCCACCGGATTGGAACTTATACAACTCGTGAGATGTCGTATATGTTGAGCGTAAGCGTGCACATCACGCTTACCCTGCTTGAGCTTCAAGAGTTCGGTTCGAGCCCTGAACTCAGCTCTAGGCGGTTCAAACGTTTGTCTGAGCCGCGACTTGAAGACTTCCAACGACCCAAACGCATATGGGTCGTGCAACTTGAGCCCCAGTGCCCAAGTCTTGGCACGTCCTGCCAGATTTGACTGGGCAAATGCAACTTGCATATCCCCGTCGTCGATGCGACGCGCCCTTATGGCGTCATCCAATTCGACGAACCATCTCAAGAGGGAGTCCTCTTCAACCCCCCTATACTTGGAGATGTCAATCTTCAAGGTTTCGGGTCGACGCGAGTGCATCGACCCACCATCAGCAGCCTGCTGCTGTCTCAACAGTTTAAACTGTTGAGCAGCCTGTTCTCTCAACAACTCTGCTTGTTGAGAACCTTGTTGGTGAAGCAAGGCTACTTTCTCGCGTTCAGCGTCAAGTTCATTTTGAATAAACTTGGCGATAGTAGCATGTTGGGCATCTCTATTGAGAGCCTCTAGCATGACGCTAACAGCATGGATGCCCATGGCTGAACCCATTCGTTCAACCGCATCCCATTCGACATCGCTCAAATGGGAGTAGCCGTCACGCGTAGCGTGAAAGCTTTGGTCATCTTCATCATCCAACATATTCATGTTAGATGTGAACGTGGTCCTTGGACGGACTACAAAGTGCTACCAGGTGTGACGGGGCACCCTGAAGCTTGTACTGTCACCAGTACAAGCTACTTATTCTGATGACAGAATAAGGCGGTGCCTCGTAACTTCACGTACACTCGTACGTGCAGAGGAAGACGGTAAGAAGAAGCGAGTACTTGGTTAAAGTAAAAAGTAGAACAGTATTTAGTATAGTTAATGTCTGCAATAAATCACTATTTATCTTCATCTAACTATGTCTGAGTACAAATGTGCATATCAACTATCTGCTCACCACTCATTGCGTGCGTCTGTCGTGGCGCGTCTTCGTTGGTTGATATAATGGCCTATATCAACCAATTAGGAACTACTCGTAAGTGTTGCAGAATATTTGTCCTTATGACAATATTCTGAGAATGTAACTCTCATAATTATATTCTATTAACGATTTCTTATAAATTGTTATGTAACGATTCACCCCGTTACATCACCCCCCCCTTAACCATCAGTCACTTTAGTTACTGATTGACTAAATGGATACTCGTCCCAAATCATTTGGGACAGGGTTTGCACTTGTTGGTCCGCGTCCACTTATCAACATTTCATCGCATGGTAAACAAGCCCATGCGATGCGCGAGCAAGGCCGCCGAGAGCGCGTCTGCACGTCTCTGTGCGGACGCCGAAGCAGAAACACCAGCAACTGATGTCTCATCGGTTGCTGAAGCGACCCAGCCTGTGTCACTTGGTGATGCAGGCGCTGGTCATGAAGACACTCGTGTCTTCACAGAGTACGAGCTCGGTGTCTCGTACTCTCCTGATACGGATGACGGATCCGTATTGACGGCGATTGAATCTAAGCCGCCTGCCAAGCGTGGCATGGACGATGCTTTGCGTCGCAGCATCTTTGGTTCATCTGATGCATCAGATGAACCATGCCGAAGCGAAGGCGCTCGAGGTCGCGAGACTCGGGCGCTAATAGTGGTGTCGGTTCTCCTATGGACCCACTTCACAGCGAGGTGCCAGTACTTCTGTCGGCACGTCGCAGGAAGAGCGGGATCGCAATGTCTTGCGTCTCGCTCCTGAGAAGAAGGCATGGATGCCTCCTTAATCTGTCATGGATCACTTGTCGGCGACGACGAGTGATCGTTATCGAACACGGTTGTTCGATTCGTCAAGGGTCCATCACCTTGACCCCAGCGCGAAAAACTATCGCGCTGAACATGAATTCTTCATCGATGCTTTCTTGAGACATCGATGGTAAAGTGGGAATCACAAGCGTGATGGTCCCTCACTACTTCAAGCGTGGAACGCCTACATCCATAACCTTGAGGATGTAGGTCGTGACGCTTGGAACGACAAACTTATCAAAGCTCGTGATAAGTTTGAAAAGCGAACCCCGACAGGTGCACGCTACAAGCTGCATCGTCTGTCAAGGGAGAAGGGATTACCCTGCCTCTCTTGGGGAGACTCGTGCCCATGTTGTGTGAACAACTCTGCACGAGCACCTAAGGAGGCTTACCTCCCTAATAGCCGTGGTGGCGCGTACGTATCTCTAGTGAGATGTACGAAGGGATTGACAACCTGAAATCCATTTACGACCGTGCCGGGAAGACTTTCTCCGGCGGTCCTACTGCGGCACAGGATGTGCCGCGTCGTACTGCTCAACCAGACCCAGTACGTCGATCATCAGTTGGGAGCGGGGCTCCCAAGTATCCCAGGACGCGGGATAGCCGCGCCACCGGACGAGATAACTCGTCCGACGTCCGTTCACGTCGCGGTGGTTTAACAGCTGCTCAACTAGATAGTGCTGGCCACCGCGAGAGTCCTCTAATGGAGGTGGAGGAGGAGGAAAGACGCTCTCCACACGATCATGGGGATCGGTGTGTTCCCGAGAGCTTCTTTGATCGCGTAACGCAAGGGTTACGCGACGATCTCGAACATGAGCGGAATAGGCGTCTCCAAATGGCGGACACTGCCTCGAAGCATCGAGCTGAGTTTGCCTTTGCTCAGCTTGAGAACGAGAGATCTCTGACATCTCTTCGTGAAGAGCTAAGGGTAGCTCGTGGGATTGCTGATCGGTCTCGGGATGAGATAGCTGCTCTTCAGACCCTTGTTGATGCCCACCATCGGGAGCACAAGGCTCTCTGCGAGATGCTTGAGCGCAAGGGCGTTCTTCATCGGAAGAAGCAGCGTACTGATGGTGCGGCTTAAGCCGACCAAACGTAAAACTGGGATGCGTTCGCATATTACGTGGCAACTCGAACGTGTATGCGTTGCCTAGGTGGTGCAATACACGAAATGGGCCGATGTACTTGGGTAGTAGTTTACTGCTACCCAAGTTAGTCACTACATGCTTTGGTAGATTAACCGTAGACAGTAGGACTAAGTCACCTTTATTAAATAAAAGAGTGTTTGCCCTTCCATTCTTGTCAGCGTTTTGCTTTTGCTTATCCACCGCTTCGGCGATGGAGTCTTGCACAAAACGGACTACCGTTTCACGAGCCAGTATGAACTCATCTGATGACTCGTTAGCTTCAGTGTGCTGTGAGCGCACTGCAGCAACATCAACCTTTTCTTCAGTGAGGGCTTCCGCACTCTCACTGGGATCATCTTCTTCAGTGAGGGCTTCCGCACTCTCACTGGCATCATCTTCTTCGATATCGATGTTATCGATATCGGCATCAAACGCAATGACTTCTTCGTCAGAGCGTGATGAGCGTGAACCAATTCGGTTTTTGCTCGCGCGAGTCCCTCCCCCCCTTAAACCAGAGTTACACTCTAGTAAGGTGGGTACACGCGGATGGCGCAAGCCATTCACGTAAAACGGTGTATGTGTCGTGGACGCATGCACCGAGTTGTTAATGGCAAACTCTACCATTGGAAAAACTCACTCCAACTCTTAATAGGAGTGTATGTATCCTCGAAGTATCTCTTCAAGGACACGATTGGCACGTTCCGTCTGACCATCTGACTCTGGATGATCAGATGTTGACATCTTCAAGCGCGTTCCGAGTGATTTGAACACGGAACGCCAGAAATTAGCAGTGAATCGTGGATCTCTGTCTGATACGAGTTCACGGGGCAACCCATGAAGTCGGAAGATGGTGTCAATAAAGACACAAGCACATCCACTTGCCGTGATTGTCTCTGGTACAGCCACAAGGTGTACCATTTTGCTGAATCTGTCAACAAATACGAGAATACCCGTATTCCCGCGAGCGTCTTTGGGCAACCCAAAGACGAAATCCATTGAGATGGATTCCCAGCACTCAGCCGGAACCGGTAGAGGCTGTAAAGGTGCACGCAGTGAAGGACTTGACTTCACTCGTTGACAGACTTCGCATGCGCGAACATACTTTCGCACAAACTGATACTGGCGGGGCCAGTAAAAGTCTCGACTTACCGTGAGATATGTTTTTTCTCGGCCACGATGTCCTCCTATAATAGCATCGTGATACTTGAACATGATCCGCAAACGCAGATCAGTATCATCTGGAATGACAACACGTGGTGTGTCACCAGAAACGGCTGTATAATACAGTAAACCGTTACGAGTAGTGTATCGATCTGATGCAGATCGATACGCAGACGACAATCGTTTCAACGATTCTCGAGATGGTTGTGAGAGATGTGTCAACAACTTCACTATCTCACCATCTTGGGCGTATGCCCGCCTCACATCATCATACAACGTTGTAGATGGGACTGAGGACGTCATAACCGCAACAGTGACTGTCTCACTGTTGGGTTTCACGACTGTTTCAAAGTCGGGACGACGTGAGAGTGCATCAGCACCGACATTAAGTCGTCCTGGTTTGTACTCGACCGTAAAGTTGTATTCTGCAAAGAATGACAACCACCGCGCCATTCGTTGTGAAAGGTGCGGGCTGTTCACTGCCGTGCGTAATGACGCATGGTCAGTGTAAACAACGAAGGGTCTATCTCCTAATAGATAGACTCTCAACTTCGCGAGTGCATACTTCATGGCAAGGAGTTCCTTGTCATGCACTGGATAGTTCCGCTCAGCTGGTTGCAGCTGACGCGACTGATAGCAGACGACGCGTTCAACGCCTTCAAGATCGTACTGCATTAATGCACAGCCGATTGCGAAATCGCTGGCATCACAGAGCACATGGAATGGCCTGTCCTGATCGGCTTTTGCTAGGACTGGGGATTGTATCAAGCTCTGCTTGATACCCTCAAAGGAGCGTTGACATTCAGCGTTCCATGACCACCTCTCGTTCTTTTTCAACAAACGAGAGAGGTGTACAGTCATCTCGGCGTAATTGCGTGAATACTTATGCAAATACGCCGCTAGCCCAAGGAATTTTCGAAGACTTTTGACATCAACCGGCACAGGCCAGTCAGTGATCGCCTTGATCTTTTCGGTATCAGGACGTACACCGTTCTTACCAACAATGCACCCAAGAAGTGGTATCTCGCTTGCTGCAAACATACACTTCTTGAGGTTTGCATACAATTGATGCTTTCGCATGATTGTAAGAACCTGTCGGACGTGGTACCTGTGAACCTCAACATCCGACTTTCCATCCATAGCCCGACTATGGATGAATACGTCATCGAAATAACTCGGCGCGAATTCTCGTACTGGTCTCGACAGATGTGATACACATTTGCTGAACGTGGCAGGGGCATTACTAAGCCCTTGTGGCATTACTAGCCACTCCCAGAGCATGCCGCTAGGCGTGCTAACTGCGGTATAGGGTATATCCCGTTCTCGCATAAGGATTTGATAGAAGCCATCCATCAAATCCATGGACGAAAAGATGGTACTCTTTGACATACCGTCAATGATTACGTCCTTCCTCGGTATCGGTGTCTGAGCCGGTACCGTTGCAGCATTCAACTTGTTGAACGCGTGCACTATCCGCCACCCTCCTGTTGCTTTTCGCACACAGAAGGTCGGAGAGCTATGTGGGGGAAGTTGATTCCCTCACATGGCCCGCAGCTAAACGATCGGCAAAGAACTTGTCGATCGCAAGTACTTGTTCACGAGGCAGTGGCCACTGCTTCATGACACAGTACTTCGAGCCTGGTTTAAGCTCGACCTCGTGTCGAACACCTTTATCCTTCGGTAATTCGCACGGAACAGTTTCAGGGAATACATCCTTGAATTCAACCAAATCTTCATAGAGAGAATTTTTTCTTGAGCGATTCCCATGATTGGGAGTCATATCGCTCAATTCGTGTCTTTTCATCTAGGACACTCTCGTCCATCGATGAACTACTGAGAACTCTCTCGTTCTCAGTAAACATTGTTGCTGACCTTATGTCGGCTACGCACTCGTCGTCAGCGACAAGTACGCAGATCTGCTTGACTTTGCCACTACGCAGATCACACAAGAACCTTTTACGTTCGAGCGTTGGCAACTGAGTGATCTCCGAAGTCAACTTCGGAGGCGCAATCAGATCAAGTGCATAAGCGCCTACACTTGATCCGTCACTGACTAGGACATTTAATGTCTCTGTCATTTCCTGGGGACTTATTCCCTCAGGCCTCGAAGGACTTATTCCTTCGGCTTCCCGGGGACTTAATCCCTCGGGTTTCGGGGAACTTATTTCCGCCATATTTGTAATATTGGGACTTATTCCCTTAACTTCCCCTAGCTAGGGTTGCGCAACCACAGCGAGATCCTCTACGAAAGACTCTCCAGTCGATCTAGGATTATCGTTTCGCTTAACCTGAGCGATCGATTGGTTCTCTTCTAGATGTTCCCCGCTAGGGATACATCTTTGTCCCGGTCCACTCGACTTTTTCGAGTGGTGGACCTTCGGCGCAGCCTGTGTTTCCTCACAGCCGCCGGAACTTTGCTCCGCAGTGTAACCGTTTGGTACACTAAGGTTTTGTGCAGTCGTACTAACGACCGTACCACAAGTGAGGCCATCGCACTCACTCGTAGTACATCCACACGCTTGTGGACGCTCCAAAACGTTCATCAGATGGCCATCTGATGAACAAGCGGCAGGCATCGTTGCTGTTCGATGTTGCCAGTTTACCCGTGGTTCGTACCTTCTGAGCCACGGTATTCCAAGGATGACATCAAATTTGTCATCCAAATCCAAATCGATAAAGTCATCGTCATATTGGGTATCTACTAGCGTATAGTGGATCTTCACTATACGCTTCATGACGGTTACGGATGCGCCTGTCGCAAGACGTACCGTCATCCTCGTAGGGGTGTGTGTCACATTCACTGAACTTAAAGTGACCATCTTCTAGCTGTTGGCGTCGCACAAAATTGTTGGACGCCCCACAATCGACTAGAGCTCGAAGGGACAACTTATTTGTCACTTCGAGTTTCAAGGTAATGAGTGAGACCTCATTACCTAGAGCAGCAACGCACAACGTCTGTGTGTTGGGAGCAACCTTCATCAAGAGGCCTACAAATTCTCTTGACGTTGCTGGATCAGTAGGGTGCTCCGCACCTACTGATCCTGTCCGTTTTTTGACGGTCCATCCCGTTGTTGCGTCTTTGCACCAACAGCGGACCCGCGTCCCTGCCCCTTTCTCATGGGTGGACGGTCACTACGCCCAGTGTTGCGAGACACTGGACGAGGGGCACTACACTCGTAAGCGTAGTGTCCTGTCTTTTGACATCTGTTGCATCTCTGCAACTTCTTGTAGCCTGTAGAGCGAGCCCTCTCGCTCTCTACATAGCAGAGTTCCATCGGCTCTGGACCTCCGTTGTCATATCGTCTCGGTTGACGATATGATGTCGAGCTGGCGCGAGCCTGTCTCAGACTGAAGTCTTCCTGCTCCGCAATGGAAAGGGCTTGTTCTAGTGAATCTAGTTCAAGCCGGAACAGGTGAGTCTTGACGGGACCATCCGCAAGACCCTGCATGAACACCGAAACCACCGTGTGTTCATCCACCGGATTGGAACTTATACAACTCGTAAGATGTCGTATATGTTGAGCGTAAGCGTGCACATCACGCTTACCCTGCTTGAGTTTTAAGAGCTCGGTTCGAGCTCTGAACTCAGCTCTAGGCGGTTCAAACGTTTGTCTGAGCCGCGACTTGAAGACTTCCAACGACCCAAACGCATATGGGTCGTGCAACTTGAGCCCCAGTGCCCAAGGCTTGGCACGTCCTGCCAGATTTGACTGGGCAAATGCAACTTGCATATCCCCGTCATCGATGCGACGCGCCCTTATGGCGTCATCCAATTCTACGAACCATCTCAAGAGGG